GGCTGGCATTTATTAAAAGACAGAGCACATAGTTTTTAGGTTAGTCTCAATTTGGCTGAAGAAGACGACTGGTCTGTTGCTATCAGTGTCCTGTATCAGCTCCTGGCTCTCATTTTTCTCCCTACTGCGTTAGAACGAAATAGAACTGAATTGAGGAAACCTTAGGGCTGCGGGTAACCAAACGACAGCCACGGTCACTGGCATCTGGTCTTGCTGTGCTCAAGGCTCCAGAGGAGAAAGATCTGCCCAGGGCCAGGAGGCACCACAGAATTCCCTACCTGCTGGCAGGCTCACATCTCTGTCGGCAAAAACAGAGGTGAAAGTGCCTTCCGGTCTTCCCCTTCAAAGCGGTTCTCCCTTCCCTTAAAGTCATTTTTCATTCCCCAAGCCAGTCCCAGGGGAGGGCAAATGCTGAAATCATAAGGCAGCTTTCCTGGGAGAAGGAAGGAGAGGGGACCGGGAGGAAGAGAAGGAAGTTCTCTTGCCTTGGAGACCTGCAAAAACGAGGGGCTATTTGGGGGCACCTGTCCCTAGCGGTACCCATCCTTCGGGAGATGGCGGGGGAGGGAACCCTCCTCCCTTGCCAAATTATGCAATCAGCTGACTTTTTGTATACTCTTTTTAAAAAGACACGAACTAAATATAGTCTTAAGTATTTTCCTATTTCTAGCTTTTAGCAAGAAACCCCCAAGTTTAGGAGACTTTGGGCGCAGCAATCAACCCCAATGAATTTTATGAAAATGTGATTTTTTTTTTTTCCTGAAATGTCTAGACCTTTCTGTATCAGAAAGGAGGGGTTATCACCAGCCTCCTCTGGATAGTCTAAGTCATTTCAAGGACACACTTAAAACAAGGCGGCATATCTTCCCCAGTCCTCCTCACTACTCAGTCTCGGGAGAAAGGATGCCCTGCCTCCAAAGATGGGGTGGTCTTAGGGATTTAAAGAATCAGACCTTGACTTGGGTGAGGGCACCTGGACAAAGTGAGGTCACTTAGCTCTTGTTCGAGTTCCCAACCAGGGGGACGCCAGCCTGTCATCTGGCCTTTCAGGCTCTTGTTTATTTTCCTTATAATTGGGATAGCATTTGGCTTGTCACTGGGTATTTGGGATGCTCCAAGGGAGACAAAGTCAGAGACGCACAAATCATCACCTTAATAATTGGCATGATGTTTTAGGATCTCTGCATTTCTTCCTTTACGTAATATTTCTAGGGAGAAAAGTCCATTCATAAACCTTTGAAAATTAATTTTAATGGGTCTCTTAACTGTCTCTAAGATTTGAGTATCTTTCTCTCAAGAAGGTCACTGTAGGAGGCTGATTAAAAACAGAACATAGTTCCGTTTCCTGTGTTATCAATTGATTAAACTTGTCAACACCATCCAGGAATAGCCTCAACTAAGAGTCTGTTACTGGAGAGGCCACTCATATGGAATTAGATCCACTCGGGTCTGTGTCATACTGCCGCATCACCTATTCTGGGGGTGAAAATACATAAGAATTCCAGCTTTGTGACTTTAAGTGCTTTTCAAACACCTGCAGTAAATTTATCAGCTCTTTGGGCATTTTCCTAAATTCAGTAATTCAAGCTGGATCTGGCATAATAAAACCAAGTAGTTCTCAGTTCATAGGTAAGGCACAGTATCAGGGGAGGCAAGGAAAACTTACTCTCCCAGGGTCACAGCAAATAACTGCATTACATTTGAACTACCGATTTTGATCATGACGTTCCCATGCTTGGTGGCATTACGGTGAATTTCTCAAAAACAAAATGTTCACAGTAACTGAAAACATAATGCACCTGACATCAAGCTGCCTGGGGGGAGGGAGGCATGGGTGTCACAGAATCAAGCAGTGGAATTTCACCAGCCCAAAGCACTGAAGGCCATGAAACTGAGCTGACCACCGTCCCCGGGGGGAGTCCCGGAAAATCTAGAGAGCCGCTCACTCTCACAGCCGAGGCGCGGGGCCACTGACAGAACTTCCTCCGGGCCAGGCAGCTGCAAGGCCACCGGGGCCCACAGGCGGCATGGGAGCCAAGGGCGGCCCGGGAGCCAAGGGTGGCCCACGCTGTCCTGTCCCAGCTCCCGCCTGGAGAACCCGCTCACCTTTCGAGTTAACCTCCTCTTGATTTCTCTTTTCTCCTCTTGTTCCTCCTGTTCATTCCGAGCTGCAAGAAACATTGACCATGCTTTGGTTTTGGGAACCGTGTCACACGCAAGTGTACCCTCTGAACCTCTGCAGGCTCCAGGCCAAGCCCCTCACGACCTGAACAAGGGGAGAGCGAGCTCCTGTCCCCCCCCACCCCACCGCGGCCACCCTCCTGCCTATGGGACGCTTTCCAAACTGCCTGCCTTGTTTCAAATTGATGGTGAACTGGCTGACCTTACTGTGTTTTCCGTGTGTGTCACAGGTTTTCAAGTCTCCAGGCAGAAATGCCGGGCTGAGAAGTATGGCTCTAAGGCAGGGAGGTAGGTCCTAACAGGATGAGGGTGCTGTTAGCAGGGACATGGGCCTCTGGAGTGAGGCGAGGCTCCCTTCTTTGGACAAGACTCAGGCCGGCTCAACTCTGCCTTGGGCCTCACAGTGACTGACGGGGGCTCATTGTGATGTGGCCTCATGTCTGGTGCTCTGTGGGGACAGAACAGCCTGTGGGGGGGCCTGCCACTGGCTGCAGAAATGAAACCAGGCACGGCTGAGGCCGAATGCAGCACTGGGCACGCGGAGAGGGATTTCAAAACGCTCACCTTTCGCAAGCCCTGATTCCATTAATTCTTTGAATCTTCCAAGAAGTCCACAGAGCAGGTGTGAGGCCAGAGTGTGGGACACAATTGCCTGCATTTAGACTTTTAAGGAGTGTCTTAGGAGAGCAGACTTCGGAGTCTAAACGTTCTTGGCTTGATATGCGGGGTGACTTACTCACCAGATGTTTAAAGAGCCATAGGTTAGAGGGTCTGGGGAAGGGAGCAGAGGTGTGGAGGGCAGAGAATGCAGGCTTATTTTAAGCAAAGCGAGTGACCTTGGGACGTCACTTTCCTTCCCGGCCTTGGAATGGAGGCGAGGGTCTAAGCCCAATATCGTCTAGCTTGAAGGTCACAGAAATCAAACCGTGTCCAAAGAAGGTCTCTGATTCTCACCCACTGAATTTAGAACGGCATCCGTGAAGGTAATCTCCTTCAGCTTGGTCTTCGCATCAAATCACTGCTGCTAAATTATGTTTCAGTAACTGAACTCAGGGCACACTTGCCATTCAGTTGGCTCACGACTGGCCAGGTCGATAAAAGAGGGAAGCCCCTGTGCACGGAAGTGGGGTCCCACCCTGTTCCTCCTTGCGGGTCCTGACAGCGGCCACCACAACCAGAGGCAACTCACACTTCCAGCTGGAAGGGACAATGGCAGTTCAGAGCAGAGCTCAGGCCCTTAAGCAACACCCCCCAGGGGCACAGCTTGCCTGCTGTGGCTGCCTGGGGGGTGGGGTGCGTTTGAGGATCTTGTATGGGGGCACAGAAATGCTCACATCCTGCAGTGGGCAAAGGCCACCATTGGTCTCCACGGAAGCTTGCCCCACAGGGCCCTGGCCCCCCACATGAGAGCCCTTTCCTTTGGATTTAAAGATATCCCATCTCCCTCCCAGAACTCCTTTAAAAATGCAAGTTTCGAGAGGCACCTGGGTGGCTCAGTCAGTTAAGTGTCTGACTTCAGCTCAGGTCATGATCTCGCGGTTTGTGGGTTCGAGCCCCACATCGGGCTCTGTGCTGACCGCTCAGAGCCTGGAGCCTGCCTCGGATTCTGTGTCTCCCTCTCTCTCTCTCCGTGCCTCCCCTGCTTGCACTCTGTCTCTCTCTCTCAAAAATAAACATTAAAATTTTTTTTTTAATAGGCAAATTTCTCTTGGATAAAAACCCATGAAACCAGTCAGCCATCAACATCTTAGTACGAACTAATCTATCAGAGAGAAACTGGAAGGCAGAAAGCAAGAAGAAGGGAGACCCCTGGCAAGCTGCATTTGCAGGTGGCTGGAGTACAGAAGGGGAGGTCTGGTCTGGAGAGTGAGTACCCAGGAGGCACCTCAAGGGAACTTAGTTAAAATGTACAGGCTCACAGGAAAGTATGGCCACGAGGGGCCCAAGAGACCACCAAGTCTAACACTCTTATTCTGAAAATAAGGATGCGAAAGCCCAGGGGAGTTAAGTGGCTACTCTCATGCCACGCAGCTAGTTAGACAAACAGTCCAGCTCTTTTTTTTTTTTTTTTTTTTTTTTTTTTTCCTCACTAGAATAAGCAGCCTCCTCCCCGTCATGCTTTGCTTGGGGCCAGCCCCTCCTCCTCATTACTGGTTACTGGCCTCAAACTCCAATCCGGACCCTCTCCTCATCCTACAAGCCCCCTACGAGCCACAGAGGGCGGCATTCTGCGACAGAGCAGGGAGCCTTCCTCTCCTGGGTGTGTTTCTTAGGTCCCCCTGAGGGGCAGGGCCACGAGCCACCACCTATGGAATCTATACCTCTAGTTCAAAGCCATTTACAAACCGAGGGCCATGAATTCTCAGGCTGAGGGTACCAAGACAACCCCATTAGGCCACTGGACAGAGAGGCTAAGAAAGGCCCGTGATGTCATCACCTGCTGCCACCATCAGAGTGTGCTCATTATGTGCTCAAATGTGCACAGTGTCTCATTGGCTGCGGGACAAAGCAGGTGCTGCCTCCAGGGGGCGGGCAGGGTGGGGCTGGAAGGTAGCTGCGGGCCCTCCAAGCTCTACTGCAGAGCCGCGACCTGTGTCTCAACAGCACCCTCAGAGATCGCGTTCCTCAAATGACTCAGAGCCCAGAAAGCAAGGTTTAGAAGAATTTGTTTGAGGGTGTTTTCTTACACCATGAAAACATCTCTTGAGTAACCATCAGAACAGACTTAAGAAAGAAAGAAAGAAAGAAAGAAAGAAAGAAAGAAAGAGAAAGAAAGAAAAGAAAAGAAAAGAAAGAAAAGAAAGAAAGGAAGGAAGGAAGGAAAACATGTTTAGGAAAACCAAGTTCCAGAATACAGAGGAAAAAAATAAAAGTTCACACGAAGGAGAAGTTCATTTCTGAGAAGTTTTGAAAACTGAAATGATCAACCTGTTTGAATGCGGTCAGGCAGTTCTTTCATTTGGCTGTTTGAACAGGATGAGGAGGAGAGGGGCGGCTAGAACAAAAGGGGACCATGCGAACAATGTTTTCTGCTCTGGTCCCTGGATCTAAGCCCCTCAGGCTTACCAGACAAAAGTAACGGTCTCTAAGATCTGAAGGTCTTTCTAGATGGCAACAAAAAGTCAATGTGAGGACCTGCCTGAAGTCTCCCAGGGATCTGGGCAAGCAAGTAGGAGCTGGTGCCTTCCGGAAGCCAGAGGTGAGCTGGGGATTTTAGACCTCCTCTTTCTAAACCCCCTGCCCTTGCTGAGAGAATTATTTTCTGAGACCTGAATAATCCCCCAGAGAGTGGTAGCTTATTTTTTTTTTAATTAAAAAAATTTTTTTTAATGTTTTATTTATTTTTGAGACAGAGAGAGACAGAGCATGAGCAGGGGAGGGGCGGAGAGAGAGGGAGACACAGAATCCGAAGCAGGCTGCAGGCTCCGAGCTGTCAGCACAGAGCCCGACGCAGGGCTCGAACTCACGAACCGGGAGATCATGACCTGAGCCGAAGTCGGATGCTTAACCGACTGAGCCACTCAGGCGCCCCAAGCGGTAGCTTCTTTGTTTGGGGGCAGCTTGGAGGCCACTGAACAGCAAGTAAATGGCACTGAGATTGGTTCCTCCAAAAAACACAGATCTGTGTTATGTGTCTGTATGTGTGTGGGTGAAGCAACAGAGGGGGAAGGACACACCCTTACCCGCCTTCCCACTTTAGGAATAAATGGACACCTGCTTTTCTTTGTCTCCAACAACGGAAAGGTTACAATGGATCAGGTGTCCGATTGGGACAGAAAAGGGAGAGACAGCACACAGGCCAAACGCCCCCCGCCCCCCCCAACCCTGGAAATCATCTGAAAAAGTTCTCTTTCATTTTATGGCATATTTAGCTTCAAAACCGTGAAGGGCATTCTTGGTTAGAAAACCACATATACACGAATTCCTAGAGACCTAGGGGGTATGTGAGGTGCGGGCAGCAATGAGGAAAGCCAACCTTGAAAACACCTGCTGAGAGCTGGGGAGGCAGCAAGGCTGGGAGCAGGGCGGGCAGGATGTCCACAGAGGCAGATACGGCAGGGACAGGTCCTCTGCAGGGGCTGCGGGCCACACGCCTGCCCCTACAGCAACTCAACAGCTCCCGGCAGCAAACCCTTCAAAACCCAGCGAGTCCCAAGGCCACAGTGGGGCAGGGGGGATGGGGGGTGGTGGGTAGAAAAGATCAAGCACATTTGAGTTTGGTCTAAGTGGAAATATCCAGCTGTTCAAACAGGCTTCACGTGGCTGGCGTGTGTGTGTGTGTGTGTGTGTGTGTGT